GTGACTGCTTACTGATACTGTGGACCAGAAGTCCCCACCAAAAAAAGAGTACCACTAAGCTCATAGATTAATGTTAAATGCTCATTTGACACTAGGTCATGTTTCCCTGTATGGAAAAGGGTGGCTGGGGGTCCTGTTTGATCTCTCAGAAGAGGTCCAATATGGGAAGCGAGAGATCCCTGCTCAGTCACTCAGAGCAGCAATTGCTAAAGAGAATCAGGTGAAATAAAATGTGCCTAAATTCCCAACCTGACAACCATGAAATACATCCTCCTGCAAGTCAAAGTGTGACCCAAGCCTCTCTGATACTGCTGGGCAGTCCAGATGGTGAGGCAGAGCCCTTCCATGAGCCACGAACATTCTGGGCACAGCCAGTAAATTCAGTAGAGAGTTAGATCAGTACTTGGGTGAACTGGAGCTTTTCTGGAAAGAGCTCAGAAAAAGATTAATCTGATTCTCTGGCAGAAAGACAAGACATGTTGTCCCTAAGGAGATGTCGCATGCTGCAGTGCTGTCTATGCCCTCTCAGAGCTCCCAGCGACCTCACCAGCAGACACAGCCAAGGCAGTATTCTCAAATGTAATATGAAACTTGCCTTAGTTTGTTTTTTATCCCTGTGCTGCCTAAAAGGTGTTTTGTCTTTTCCATTTGCCTTGGTGGAACATTACAGGGAGGAAGCTGGAAAGACAATGGAGCACAACGGGTTACAATTTTTTATCTCTCAGGGGGAATTCTACTGTGCCAAAATGTGTGAAACTAGTGAATTTTAGCCAGCAGTTTCAGAGAGAAAAAACCTGAATGACAGAGCTTGTCATACTGGTTTTGATATGCTAAGAGTCAGGGAGGGCTGGTCATATCTCTGGAGGAAGAGTTGTGCAAACAAAAGCCTTGGTCTCTTGGAGGTGCACTGGTGTGTAGCCTGGAACTGCAGCAGGAAGGACTCCAGTGTGTCACAGTCTGGGATGCAGCTCAGGATGATTGCACAGCCCCAGTCTATGGTCAAACAGTGAGCCTCGGTCATCCTCTACCTACCAGTCACTTAACTGTACCTCAGATTCCCACTCTACAATGTGCATCTCATGGCTTTCAGCCCCACTGGGAGGCTGGGATGGGGCTTCCAGGGCTGTGAACACCAGCTGTGCGAGCTTCTATGGGCATCATCTGCATGCCTCCACTGTCAATTGGAGATGAAAACTCCAGAGGTGAGCTGGAGGTGAGATGAAGCTGAGATAGTATCTCAAAAAATCCCTGCAACAGGAAGGAACTTATCTGCATACTCAGCACCATCTCAGAGGGTTAGCAGGCTGGATGTGGACACGCTGACCCAGAAGTCTCACCATGTGGGTATTCCACTGCTGTCATGAAGACAGTATCTGAGCCTATGTTCAGTATTTCAGTGTGAGGAAAGCCCAGGTTCATTTTCGTCTTTGTGGTTCCCAGGGGGTAATGCCATGAGCGTTATGCCAAAGGATGCCCAATGTGATGAGTATTTTGATGAGAGGTACACTTTGAAATAGTTCTGTGATGGGTTCACTCCCACCCACAAGAATTGCTCAAGGAGAATGAAAATTCAGTATTTAGTAAGTGTCAGAGCACAGCTACCTAAGGAGCTCTGTTCTGCCATGTTACATATGTGTCCAGCTGTGGCTGCCACATACAGACACCCCCAACAGTGCTGTCCCAAGGTAGTGCCTACACCTAGCCTCTGTCCAGACCGGGCACTGCTAGAGCTTCAAACTGTTGCAGCTGGGCTGTATATCTTCTAGGTGGTAAAATGTAAGTCAGTGGCAAACACCCCATCCCTTGTCATGTCTTGCAAATGAAGCAGGACAGTATTTGGATGACAGTCCTACAGGGGTGACGTGCATGCTGCAACTTGTGATGGCACTGCCTGACTAAGCAAACTCCCCTTTAAAAGAACATAGCTGGAGTGTGCTACAAGCAGTGCTGTTTATGACATGAGGCATGAAAGAGAAGTCCTCATTGCTTACTGCTATTCCCATTTCAGGAGTACTTTTGTGTAGGAGTGAGTGTCTAGTAAGTCTTTTGCATCAGGATGCTAGCTTGGATTTGTTGGATGTTTTCCAATTCAGACAGTTACCATCTATCTCTGCAAATTTTCCATGCCGTTTCAGTTGGCTACAGAATGACTTTTCATTTCATGTTCAAATCTGACTTTAATAGTTACTTCATACACTTGAACAATTCCTTTATTTCACACTCAGTGGTGGGTGGAAGGATGTTAAGCAGCATATACTTGGACCCACTTCAGTGGAAGTTATTACCATCTCTAGTAGGGTTGCAATGGTGAATAAATCCATGCCAAAGGGAGCAAACCGGCAAAACTGGAGAATATTTCATTGTAAAACCTGCTGAGGGGCTTAGAGTACTCTACTCAATATACCAGCAGCTTGTGACAGAAGTCTATAGTAATTCCAACACTTTACTAAGTGTTTATTTCTTGAAAAGGTTATTTGTGCTTATGTTAACCCTAGGAAATTATATCTCTCTTCACTGAAAACAATCTCAGTCTCTGCAGCAGTGGCCAGACTCCACCCTAGGTGCCTGCGGTTTTACTGATACCCCAAGAGGTTTGATTCCTTCTTGGCTACTCCAGTTCCCTCACTTCCCAAATAAACTTTTTTCTTCTCTTATATTCTAGTTGTTGAAATTGTTTTGTCACCCTCTGCTCAAAACTGCATTTTTCGTTTTCCTCCCACTTTTCACAACCCTCGGGATTATCAGCTCAGCAATGTCCAATGTAGATTCTTGAGATCTGATGTCATCTTGCCTGGCATATGTTACACACTCAAGTAAGTGTTGTGATGAGCAATGTACCACATGTATACCTCCCAGGTTCTCCCAGCATTGTGAAGACTTATCAGTGCTCTAATTATGTATCACTTAAACCAGGATTTTGTTATGTAGGGTTTCCAAGTCTGGTGTTACCAATATAAATAAAATCCTCATCTTACCCTCCATTCTCTGCTCTGCATATCAAACCCCAAAAAAGTTCTGGAAAAGCCTACTCTTTTGAAGATTTGATCTTCTGAAGACACTTTGGGGATGCTGTGTGCCAGAGTTTGAGATGCTGGAGACCATGACTTCAACCCTGGGATAAAGACAGTGATCCAGAATGTCCAGACCAGGCTGAGTGGTACCACAATCTTATTGCTGTATCTGCAGGCCATGCCCAGTCTTGGGTACTCTTTGAAAAGTAAAGTTCTCCAGCAGGGAATGAGGGAGAAATCATGGCACTCCCCATGCCAAGCCAGACACACAGTGGAGCAGTGTGTCTTTTCTGCCTTCTGAAAGAGCTGTACAACAGGCAGACACAGGATGCTTTCAGGGGCAAGACGCTGCAAGTGGTGCCACAACACACCAAGTTCATGCTCAGATTGTGCCTTTCATTTTAACTGGTAAGATCTCAAAAATATTCTATTTTCTGGGGAATTTCTATAATGTCCTTTCTTGGAGGAACAAAATAATTAGTCCGCATAAAGCAGAGCTGTGCAACTGGTGCTCATGAACAGAAGCGTTGGCTCTAATGAATCCTGTTATTTTTTCAGCTTTATAACTTTCTGCATGCATGTTACTGGCATCACATGTTTAAGTGATAAAAATTTAAAGACTTTCAAGCTATTAGAGGGAACTGGAGTCTGACCACCATTGTGATACCTGATTTACAGTTAGCAATATATTCTGTATTCCGGGATCCCATTTGCACCCTGGGAAAACATCAGGAACAGATGGTTTACTAGCCAAATTTTACAAGCAGCTCAAAGAGGACTAGGCACCCTGCATGCTGCAAACATTTATAACACAATCAGCTCCTCCTAGCCACAGACAACTGCATCAATGAAGTTAGTAGTAAGTATGGGGAGAAAAGCCTAAGGCAATACAGTTTTATGAAGATACTACATTGTCTTGCACAAAACTTAAGATTACAACTTAAGCTGACACACATGAGAGTTCCATGTCTAGAATAGAGACTTTAACATTCTTGTTAGGTTATTCATCAGTACCAGTGGCTAGCAAAAGAAATCTTTAGTTCCATTTTACCTTGTAGGTGTGAAAAGCTCTTAAATTTTCTTTTTTTTGTGTGAGAAGTACCCTCTCTGGAGTGCATTTTTTTGTTATGTTGATCCCTTAACACAGAGGCGAAAGTAATGGGAAGCTTTTACTTGCTTAATGGTCTTTGGGAAATTGAAAAGGTATCTTTGGTGGTCTTGCTTTTGTTCAACAAGAGTTAAACATTATATATCTGCTCTTTCTTTCTTTGAACAAGACAGTGGGAGAGAGATTCTGGTCAAGATTCGCAAAGCTCAAATTGATACAGAAAATTAAAACCCCATCTTTTATAACTACATCTGAACTGCAAATCAACAAGAAGATCTGTCTTTGTTTTATGATTTCTATGTTTGTTTGATTTCTAGTGTATTTTTTAAGTTCATCAAGAGCCATATTTCAGCAGACATCAGCAATCAATAAAATATGCAGTCTAATAGTTTTCTTTCTTGCTTATTTAAAGTGTCTAATGAGTGCAGCACACTCTTTCTTGCAAATGAAATATTTCCATAGCTTCCTCTTGATATCTGAAAAAACGAAAAGCTGTTACAATCAGCATAATGACTCATTTAATAGCTCAAACAGATCTGCTCAGGAAGCACTACAACTCCTGAAGTATAAGGAATAGGTTCTGTTCCATTAGTCTGTAGGAATAGTGGCTTGGAGGAAAAGATTTCATGTCAAATAAATGCTATGAGCAAAGAGCAGCCATGCTATAAATGAAGTTTTAAAATTGGAATTTGGAGACAAGTAATATAATGTACTCTACGTTGCAAACAGGCTTTGTTATGCAAACTTTACACTGCATTTTTACACTAAGCCACAGGTGTTAGTAGCTATAAAAAGTCCTCTGGTTATCTATAGGGTTAGTTATTCAAGAGTAAAAAAGTATTTTTTCAGAGTCAGTACTGAAACACAGCAACACTCTGTTTTACTTTTAGGACACAAAACCCAGGACTTGATCAGTTGGCTTCATTTACATGTAATACATCTTAGTTTAATATGTATTGAATTTTAATATGACAGAGAACTTGACTTCTGTAATCTGAAGAGAATTGAAGTGCATTTGCTGCTTGTACTGTGACAGCCAGGATTTCACTTCCTGGAAGAATCTGCAATCACTCAGTTCAAGGTCTGCTGGGAATTGAGACTAATTGTGGTGACAAGGCATCGTCAAGTTTGGCACTTCCACAGCAACTAAAGTTCTGCTCTTTTTTCCAGAGACCTAAAGACTTTAAAATACCTTTTGGAAAAACCCACAGCTCTGCCTCATATATTTGACTCCTCAGGAAGATAGTTTTCAGTGAAGAAAAAAGTTCGGGAAGGAAGGAAAACAAAATTCACTCATGCCTTAACACAGCTAATGTTGCACAAAGAAATTCAAGGGTGAGTATTAAATCATTAGGAAAGAACAAGATAAAAAACTTCTATCAAGAAATAATCAAGAAATAATGTTTGCCTTTTGTTTTGTTTTGTTTTGTTTTGTTTTGTTTTGTTTTGTTTTGTTTTGTTTTGTTTTGTTTTGTTTTGTTTTGTTTTGTTTTTTTATTGTATCATTTTGTCAAAAACCCCAGGATATTCTCACTCATTAATGTTCTGGGGCAAAAAAATTACTGGTCCTCAACAAAAAGAGAACACATAATTTAGAATATCAACCTGCTTGCTCTTTTGAGGAATCAACCAAAATTTCACTCTCCTTTCTGCTACTTTGAGTACCTTTGTCTGAAGTACTTGTAAGAGGATGCACTTTTAGCAGGAGGTGCTATAGAACACCTTGGCAAAATCAGGCAGTGAGATTGCAGACTCTAAGTGATGAACACACTAACAGGTCCCCATGCAGGATCCTTTCTTTACATTCCTGGATATGATTCTTACTGCTCCAAGTCTTTCTTTGGCTCCTGGCTCCTAGTACAGTGCCCTTCTTCAGCTCTTGTCTTGTCATTTCCAAGGAGTAACACCAGGAGCTGTAAAAACTTCTTTGCTTTCACTTTTGATAGATGGATAAAGTGATCCCATCAGCAGCTGGGGTCTCCAAGGGCACCTTGGGGGTCTGTCTCAAGAGGTGATACAGCTGCACATCAGGCTGGGATATATCTGAGCACTAAAGACTCTTTGTCTTGCTTCAGTGTACAAGCGCATGAGTGAGATACTAAAACACAGTAAGAAACAATTTAGGTAAGTCCTAAATGCATGCTGTTTTTTAAAGAACAGTATTTTAAGTTTCAGGCCCTAAAAAAATAATACTGTCCTTTTAAAAAAGCTTTCCTAAAGATTTTCTTCTGTGAGTTAAACAAGAGAAATGCATACACCTTTGCCAAAATACTTAGTTTACTATATCCTCATTCATATGGCACAGGAGATCCTAGGCACACATCCTGTTTTCCTTCCAAAAGGCAACATCCTTCCAACATCCACACCAAGCACTGTGGATGTACCCGAAGTTACCAGAAATTTCTTGCAGAATTCAGCTAGTGATCAATTGGGAATGTCCTGGAAAATGATGAAGAGCAGAGGAGCACAAGCAAGACATGTGCTTGTGTCACATCAAGCCATCTCATCTGTTCAGTGTTGGGGTTTGCCCTGGAAAAGCATTGGAAGCTTCTGCAAAAATGCACAAAAATAAACTGATTTTGTAAAAACATGGGAGAGGGAAAAGTGGGAGTATGTTAATAAATCTGCCATCAAATGTTGTCAGAAGAATACTAAATTCACCTGTATCAATTTAAAATTACTGTGTAAGAGTCCTCTCCAAGTCATGTCAGCTTTATATGAAGAATTTCCTAACTTTTTTGTAGTGATTATCTCAAATCAAGTTTCAGGAAGATATCTGGTAAAATCTACAACTAAAGGAAGTATTACGAAAGCTGAAGACACACAGAACAGTTATTAAAACCTCAGGCCACACTAAACTGAGTGAAAAATAATGAAAAGGATATCATTATTATTCAGAACTAGAAGTTAATTGCTTGATGAAAATTAGATGGTTTACATACTATGGTGATTTCTGAGAGCATAGCCTATTTTATTTTGTTCAAATGGCCTTTGGAAGAAAGGTGGTCTGGTTTTGTTCTGTACTGGCCCATTTATGGCAATATGCTATTTCAATAATAGCTCTAACAGATCAGCAGATGCAGTGAAGCAATGCAGGCTCTAAGGCTGTTGAAAACCCTTCAAATAGCCTGAAAATTTAGGGAGCAGATGTCATTCTGGCACTAACTGTTTCTTACTCCAAGAATACAATTTGTGATTCAGGAACTAAGATATTCCCTCTATTACAGTGGACAATTTTCTTAATGGTGAACAAAGAACTGCTGAAAACTGATTTTTCTTTATATCAGACTTTGCCAGGCACAAGAAAAGAACAGAATACAATAATTCTATGCACCAGAAATGTGAATTAAAAACTCAAATGTGGAAAATGCAGTGTTATGCAGATGAGGGCAGGACACTTCTACCAACATGTGCCCTTACTGTGAAGGAGGTAAGGAAGTCTTCCTTTACTCTGCCAGATAAAACAGCAACCTCATGCTCTGCAAAGATTTTCCAGAGTACAAACCACTTTAGTAACTTGGTGAGTACTTTAACCAGCTCTGAAAACCAGCCCCTTGTATTTCTCAGGAACACCCACCTCTCCTGCAACCAGATGAGTCAGACAGCATCCAGGAGCTTCATTCCAGGAATCTGTCCCACTCAGAAACCCAGAAAAGAATCCCAGAGAACTGACATTTTCTTAATAAAAGGGAAAGCACAGTGAGCAAACACTCTGAACAAAGTCTACCCTGAACATTGAACAAAAGACCCTAAAATCGCCATGTGCTCCTCTTCAACTATTTGCCTTAATGAACTATACAGGTTAGTAAAAGAGACATCTGCCCCCACTTTCCTATCACTAGTATCACAGCTTCCTTCCTTTAAACTGTGCATCAGGCTTGTTTCAGTCTTGTCACAGCTATGGGTTAATTTTTGATGTCCCAGGACAGGGCATCCATATTTATTTGTCTTGTCTCTCAGTACCAACCAGTTATTAAATCCCAGGACAAAAAATGTAAAAACAGGAATGGTAACATATTAACATGTGTTGGAACTTTCCAAACTAAACATGATGAGCAATTATATGGACAGCTGGCAGCTACAGGTTCAGTCTTCCTCCATCTGGTGGGACTGGAGGAGAGCAAACTGGAACAATGCCAGTGTCAAGATACAACAACATAAGTCAGGAGCGTCCCACACCAAACCGACATAAGCAAAACCTAAGTGTGATCTGAGGATGACCCAAGAGAAAGCTGAACTGGTAATCTGAGGAGAAATGTAGGTAGTGACCACTGTCTTTCACTGGGAGACTGTCCTTTCAACTGTCCTAGTTCTCTTTGGAGTCTCTCGAAACTGATGTCAACTGATCATGGCTACAAAGAGCACAGAGCCCTTGGGAATTGCTGTCATGACTGCCATTGCTGGAGGCAGTATCTAGGAGATAGGGTACCTCCCACAAAATATTCTTCAGGGGAAAAAAAAGTATTCTGCCTCCTCAGTCCTTTTGATCTCCGTTGCTCCGTTGCATGTCACTCCGTTGCTATCTTCTTTGCACTGGGTGCCACCAATTGCCAACACCATCTCAACACTTCGTCTTCCCTCTGTGAAGACAGCTACCTGGCTCAGCTAAAATAAGACACCAGATAAACAGAATAATCATTGTGTGCAAGCTAAAAAAGCAAACAGAGCAGGTGGGAAACTGCTTTCTTACCCCATGGATGCCAAGGGCATTTCTGAGTTTTTCATATCCTGCACCAAGGAAACAGAACCTTTCAGGGATGTTTGTGAAAAATAAAATACCTCTGCCCACTGCAGAGAAGCTACTAATCCACTGGCTCAGACACTTGCCAAGAGCTGTGGAGCAGCCAAAATGAGTTATCACTTTCCTTAATCGAGAGTAGAGAGCTGAAATCCCTTTCCCACGTAATCACAGAGTATCAGCTATTCCAGCAGAATTTGTGCCTGTTCTGTATCCATCAGTTCCCTTCCCTCCTCTCCAAATTTCTATCTGGGTATGAGCAATCCTTCCTGTCCAAATCACTACATTTTTTTGTAGAACTTGTAGGTATACATAATCAGCTTTTTCCAACAGCAGTTTCAGTAGGACAAGTTTCACTAGCCATGGAGGTGACGTAGCTCTTCCTCTCACCATGGCTGCTGCTGACCAGTTGTGTCTTTTGGTTTTTGGTGGGAAGTGATTTTCTTTGAGAAGCTTCTGGAAGCTTCCTCCGTGCCTGGCAAAGCCAATCCTTGGCTGGCTCTGAAAACAGACATGCTGCTAAGCCAATTAGAGAAGTTGATAATGCCTCTGTAATGACATATTTAAGAAGGAAATCAAAACCATGTATAGTTCTACCGAGGGGTAGGGAGGCGCGGCGGCTGGGGCCATTCTGGCACTAAAAGAGTCCATGTGGCTGGTGTGCCCGTGTGGCCAAAGAGCCTTGCCTGTCTGGCCGCCCCTAGCCAGATGCACTGCAGGCAGAAGGGCAGGGGTGGCGGGTGCATCTTCTCTCTTTCCTGCACCCTGCATGGGGAGAGATGTAGAATAGTGCCAGCGCTGTGACTGGTAGGGCCACGTGGCCTGTGGCAGGAACGTGGCGAGTGACTCCTCGGCATGGACCCAGATGAGATCAACCTTTCAGTGCTGCAAAACCCTATAAGGACTTTTCAATTGATAGAACTTGAGAGTAATGCCTATGGACAACAATATTCTTCCAAGTCAGAGAATAGGAAGAGGTGAAGTCATGTGAGGAGAATCAACATGGTGGCACTGAAGTCAGTAAAGAATGAGGCAGACGACCTGCTCCAAGTGCCAGAGCTGAAAGTTTCTTCTGCAAACTGTGGTAAAAGACTATAGTTAAGTAAGCTGTCCCCCCCACAGCTCATTGGGTCCACAAGAAACATGCAGAGGTCCACTTGCATGACAGAGCAAGTGGATGTCAAAAGGAGCTATAAAAACCTGCATTCACGTGGACGAGTGACTCACAGGTAGCGTTTTCGAGAAGCCTGTTTTGCCCATGAGAAAGACTCACGTTTGCAGAAGATTGGGTGGAACTGCTGTTCACGAGAAGAGAATCAAGTTGTCGAAGTTCACAGAGAACTGTCTCCCATGGGGGGACCTCACAATACAACAGAAGAAAGACCTTTTTTCCCTGGATGAACAGAAGAAAATTCAGAGTGATGAACTAACTGTGTCCAGTTCTGGGCCCTCAGTTTGGGAAGGACATTGAGATGCTTGAGCGCATCCAGAGGAGGGCAACGAGGCTGGAGAGGGACTTGGAACACAAACCCCGTGAGGAAAGGCTGAGGGAGCTGGGGGTGTTTAGTCTGGAGAAAAGGAGACTCAGAGGTGACCTTATCACTCTCTACAACTTCTTGGAAGGAGGCTGTAGTCAGGTGGGGGTTTGTCTCTTTCTCCAGGCAGCAACTGACAGAACCAGAGGTCACAGTCTCGAGCTGCATCAAGGAAAATATAGGTTAGATATTAGAAAAAAGTTTTTTATGGAAAGGGGGATAAAGTACTGGAATGGTCTGCCCGGGGAGATGGTGGAGTCACCATCCCTGGATGTGTTTAAAAAAAGACTGGATGTGGCACTCGGTGCCATGGTTTAGTTCAGGTGTCAGGGAACAGGTTGGACTCGATGATCTTGAAGGTCTCTTCCAACCTTGTGATTCTGTAATTCTGTGACTAAAAAACCCATGTTTTGTCTCCCTGCGCTGTCAGTGGGAAAGACCAGGAGGGGGGGGAGTGGGGGGGGGGGGGGAGGGCTTGGAAGAAAAAGTGTTCTAAAAGTTTATTTTAGTTCTCATTACGCTCTTTTAAATCTGTTAATAATTACTTTTTCTTTATACCTTTTAAATATGCGCCTGTTTTGCCTTTAGTGTTTTTTCCTGATCCTTATCTCAACCCATGAGCCCTTTGAGTTTTTTCCCCTTCTCTGCTCAACTGTAGCATTCATTCTCCTCTGCTTAACTATAGGAGAAGACAACAAATGAACAGTTTTCCTAGATGCCTGGTCTTTCAACCAGTGTCAAACCATGATAAGTTGTAACATACTACTGAAGGGATTTTCAGAGACGTCTTTCACTAGTGGTCAACTCAGAGTAAAACTCACTGTGAAATCCTGGTCTGAACATACATAGTTCACTATATGTTCAGTGAATGTTTTTTTTCACCACAGCAAATGACAATACAAGCAAAATGAACTCTACCTCCATCACTTGGAGGTTGCCTTGGGTAAGCCAGAGCTTTGTAGAGACTTCTACTTTCTTGTTGCGCTCTCCCTCCCTCACCTCTCTGTTCCTGAAAACAAAAACTGTCAGGTGTCTGTGTGAGTTGGCAGGCTGCCTAGCTCCCTTGTCAAAATGACTTGGTAAATTTGACCAGAACACTGAATGTTTCCACAAGGATTGCTGCTACTTAATGAGCTGCTTGATACTCAAGGCATATAATTTCTGTGCACTGAGGGCTTAAATGAAGGACCACATTCTGAATTTTGACAACAGTAATTCACCAACAGAACCCACATGCAAGACTTGAACATATACAAATTTGGAACATTGACATTCATGATGAATAAAATCCATGTGATTTTAAAGATAAATGAGCAAAAGGGAGGTGAACAGCACTGAGGAACATCTTTGTGCCATGGGCTGTATTACTGCAAGATCTTGCTTGCTCTGGAAGTACAGTGATTCCTGGTCTCACCTTAACTTTTAATGAAATATAGTGGACCTTGCTCACTTGGTCCTGCACTGAGGCAGACTGGCCTAGCATATTACAAATATTTTTTTACCAAACTTGCAGCAAGTCACTGAATGCCCCCCTTTGTTTTGCCCACAAAAGCAGTATATTGGAACTCATGAAGCAGTCTTCCAGTCCCAAATACCACAACATTGATAAAACTCTTGACAAGAAGTCATTGAGGGTGGGTGGAAACAGATGCCCCTGATGTCTCTCCCTTGATCACATTTTCTTTCCTTCTCCTTCCTAGGTTCTCAGTCCAACCTGATCTGATATCTTTAGCAAGCTGGGATCTATTCCTGGGACCTTTGCTCCAGGCACAAACAGCAAACCAGCATGGTACAGGAAATCCTGGACTTGGCTTTTCCCTTCTTTGCTTTAACACCTCCCTTAGACAGTGAAAAAAACTCACTTGCCATCCTGGCAGCTGGTTCTGCTACAGAACTCAGCTCCAGAAGAGGCTGCTCCTGGCCCTTACCTCTGCTGGCCAGGTCTCTATTGGGTGAGGAGGAGACCATAGAGTGGGGCTTGGCCTCTGCCCTGCTGCCCAGACCAGGACACAAGGCACTACGGGAGCATTAAGCCCCACATCACCATTACCCTGGCATGGCTGGGTCTCACACAGATGCAGAACAGCAGAGCTGCTGAAGGCCTCCATACCAGGTATCCCATACTGTAGGCCTGGCAAGGGGAGAATAGCTTCTCACCAAGGAACATGCCTAAGATCAACTGCTTAGGACAGCTTGTTGCCAACTGCACAGGCCATCCAGATTTTTGAGCTACAGTGTAGTTTGTCAAGCTAACATACAAAGCTGGTCCGCCTTTCTGCATGGAGTGAAAAAAAAGCGCACTATGAACAGTTCCTGCTGCTATGCCAAGAATTATACCAAGGAAAAGAAACCTACTCAAGGGAGTCTGCAAACCATTTTAACCAGGAATCAAACAGGGTGGGTTTTTTTCTTAATGGAGTGCTATGCTACATTAGCAAAAGTGATGTGACATTATGAATGTAAAAGTGTATATAAAAGCCTAACATAACAGTATTTTCAGAACAGGGAGGGGAGGTGGGGAGAGAAAGGGGAAGAGAGCAGCAGACATTTTTGAAGCAGTCTTGGAAATGTTAAGTAGAACATATTTGTAGCTATTAATTTGTAACCTTTTCCATCTCATTTCTTCTGGAATATATATATTCCTACAACCAGGTGACACAGAAAAACACAAAATAGCCCTAAGGGTATCTACATACAGCTTTCACCAGAAAATTGCCTGGGAGCAGGGGCATTCAATTTGCAACCTGTCGAAGTGGTCCACTTCACCTACCACTGGCAGCTGGATAAGTTGCTTTCAAGGTAATACCTGTTACTAGCCACCACCTTTCCAGGGAGAGGGCAAGGAGGATGAGGCTCATCAGCTGCCACGGCAGCAGCAAGGCCCTGGAATCCCAGTGCTGTACCCCACACTTGCACATTGTAGGTGTGTTCACCAGAAGCCAGAAGTGAGCACGTGAATCTTAAGTACTTAGAGACTGTAGAGCTGCAGAAGCTACAGCAGCGTGCTCTGCTCAGGAAGCAGGCTGCAAACAGTGGTTCCAAGGCCACACCACTGCTGCCCAGGCAGAAGGCTGCCTGACTGCTTGTGTTTCAGACCACCCACCAGCTCAGGCAGTAGAGCAAAAGCCAATCACCACAGCAGGTTTTCATTTATGGTAGAGTTAAACAGCCAGGGCTTCCTTTGCACACAGCAGACACAGCACATGTCCAGGACTCAATTGTTAGGTATCTGCTCTAAGGAGAAAATTACACCTTGAACCCATCTCTCTCCCCTAGTCAGAGAAACGAAGAGAGTTACTCAAATTGACCCCACCATGGAAAGCATTCACCTCCCAGCTTCAGAACTCAGGCACACCAAATACGCCAGTAAACCAATGGGCAAGCCCGAGTTACCAGGACAGGGATGACACTGTCCACATAAAGGAGCCTGGGTTTGAATTCACCTTGGATAGAAAGTGAAATACAGAAGTCTATGGCTGTGCAATGTCACTGGTTGCCTGGGATGCTGTACATGACTGCAGGCTGTTTGCTGTCCTCTCCAGCCCTGTTGTCTCTGCCATCAAGTGCATGACATTCCTGGAGCAAAATTTCAGATCAGGCCAATCACATGGCCCAAAGCTCACATTTAGTAATATCAGCAAATGTGTGTCTCCTCATTCTCCCTTTCCCAAAATCAGTTGTGTTGAAAGAAAGGAATGATACAGAAGGTGTGATAAAAATTTAAAATCTGATATAATGAATATGCTAAGATGCTTCAATTTCTGTCCTAGCAGCCAGCAGGGTTATGTTGTTTTGTTGGTTTTTTGTTTTTTGGTTTTTTTTTTAATGGACAAGATAAACTTTTCTACAAGGAAATAATAAAAATACTCAAAAAAGTCAATGCATATACCACAAAAAACTCCACCAAAATTCCACTAAAAATCCAGAATTTTAAGTTTGGAATAACAACCCTTTTTACAAAGACATTTTATAGGTTGAGCGTATGCATTCACAAAAGCAACAAGCTAAGGCATATTCTCCTTAGCCGTGTTTGTAAAAGAAAAGCTCTGGAAAGCTATGTGACTTGATCTCATGTAAATCTTGTCAAGGTACAGGCAGTATGAATATTAAATATTTAAATTACTTTTGCATGTAATGGACTATCAGTTTATACAGTTATGAATATGAGCTAAATTAGTTTCAAATCACTGCAACAAATACTCCAGTAAGAGCATGAATCTTAAACAGCATTTTAAAGTGCTCATTAGAAACCCAACATTTCAATTAAGAAATGTTAAAGATATTACATTCCTTACATATCAAGTCCAAAGGTACAATATGTACACAATCTACCATCTTGTCTTTACAAATAGGAAGTCATTTACCTGCGTACAAACATGACTAGTAGCCAAAGTGAACCTGAAAGACTATTTTGATTTGGCCAGAAAAACAAAAAAAACATCCCTTCCCCTGAACAGTTATCCCACACATACTGCTATCAGAATTCTATATCCCAAGCACTGCCCCTTTGGCCAATCTCCTTGTCTAATTCTCTTTACACCTACTCATGAAGCATCTGCCAGTACTTTGCCAGTAAAAAATCACACCATCTCTCTTGTAACAGAATTGCTTGGGTCTCTAGGAACTGGCAAGGCTTCTGTTAAAGACAAAATGCAACTGAAGAAATATGCCCTGCAATATACCACAGTTTGCAAAAAGAAAAGAGCTCTTAACTAGATAGCCCATCATATAACAAAAATTTTGACAGTTTTTAGTTAATTTTTGAATGAACTGTAGTGCTTATTTAAAAAAAATGAAACTAATTATGAGGCATTTGTGACACCTTTAAAAGCCTACATCAGCTTTCTTATAAAACCCTAACCTGTCCCTTTCAATCCATAAATGCAGTACATTTGCTAGATAAGTCTTGTCCTTACAGCAACTAATCAAACGGCTTCATCCACTACAAGTTTTCTGTGATTTTGACTTAACAGTTTTGCAGCATGTGGTATTACTCTGTGCACAGGTTAAGCCTGTTTCACAAAGGACTAATACGAGGTACTGTGAAATGTTAGCATTGTGCATCATTTTAATCCCCATAGCGCACATGCTTTTCAGTAATCCCCTTCGAAGTACATGACAAATTTTCGAAGATACAAACAACCATAAAACACAAATCCAAAGTTCATTAAAGCACAATATAAATATTTATGTTTCTGTCATTGATTTCATGTCTCAGCTGCCATGAATGGCAACATTTTGTCTTTTCAGACTTTGCAACTGGACATTGTCCTTTTCAGACAAAGAGTATACTCACTCATATACAGTAACATGACAGTACAGTAAAATCAAAACCCAAAAAATAAAATAACAGTGAACATTCCATAAGCAGATTCTTAAATTTAGGTAAACATTTCTGCTAAGCTAAAGGCAAAAATATGCTGTACAAAATCATGGTAGCATCTCAGTAATAAGCTTTGTTTAGCTTAGCTTCAGCGTAGTGTGTGGCCAGCTTGATCTATACAATTTCTTAAAAGAAGAGGAAGATAAAAGATTGTAAAGCTCTAGTTCTGCTCTACTTGTACCCATTAGCAGATTCTTTCCTCGCAAAACATTCATGTGAAAAAAATCAACTGTGGCACTCAGCTGAGTTACAAAACACACATTTATAGACAACAGGAGATGTCAAGGTGATAAACGACTCATTGGACTGCTTTCTTCTCCTCCTGCAGCAAGCTTGAGCGTTGTGAGCTTACGAGGGGGATGCTGAGGACTCTTACGAAGGTTGTCGTCCATCTGCAGAGAAACAATGAGAGCTGGATCTGGCAACAGCAGAATATAGATTATACAATTAGTCTTATTTGTCAGGGCTGCCATCAATAATACTGGCTTGGTTGGCGCTGGTGCTTTGGTTTCTTTCCACTCCCAAATATATGTTTGTATTAGAGCTGCTAATCATTCCCTTACACATGATGCATCAAACCCAGGGCACCTGGAAGTGCTTCTGCTCAAGTTATTTGGTCAAGATTACTGAAGGAAGCAACACAATTCCAAGAGGTCAAATATTGCACAATACCCAAATGCTGTGAGAAGGCAGATCAAGAGTGAAACTGCTAACAATGGATGCTTCTGTATATTCAGAAGCATGCAAGAATAAGTATTTTGAGATCAAACATGTTCTGGAGATGCTGAATGAATTTGTATTAGTTACACATTTCAAAAAGTACATAATAAAGCACTTGTGATAAGACCTTTTCAAAGACAGGTTAAAATTAACCTGAATATAAACAATTTACATTTTCATAGGAAATCCCGCTAATGCCCTTTGTGTATTGTGGTCTGAAAAGGTTTAGTTGGTACAGAACAAAAGCACAGGGGAGATCTGCAGAGGCTGTCTTGTCTATTCCATTTCTTCAAAGCAGGATCAGATTTTCCTCAGCCATCCCTGACAAATGGCTATGTAACCCATTGTTTAAAATTTCTACAGCCACACTTCAATGCCAGAAAGAGCACCAATACCTAATGCTACAAAAGCTGATCATAATTAATGATCTATTTGACACACTGATCTTTTCCAGGAAGAAATGCCTTCTACCCTTTCAGTTAGAGTGTTCTATCTGCATGAAAAGGCTAATTCTTCACAAGTAATTTTCAATTAAGTTGTATAGCTCTTGATAGGTGCTGAGTGACAGCCTTAAAAACAGAGAACATAAGAAAAACAGCTAGATGCAGAACAAGCAGAAGAGTGACTGATGCATAGTTACTACAGCATGCAGCTGCAATCAAGGAAAGCTGGTGATCAGTCTTAATTTGCAGGACCATTTCTGAGTTTTGACTAATACATTTTCCTCCTTCTTAGCTGAATGTACACTTGCAGAAAGATACCACTCCTCTTTTGGTATGCACACCTGCAAGACAATGCTCTTTTGGTTGTATTAAAAATAGTTTCTTAGTGCAAGGCTTCATTAATTCCTCCTTCCAAATGATGAAATATTCTTCCTGCCCATCTACACACTCACTAGAAAAGAAGTAATTAAAATAAAAGTCCAGTGTGCAGTTGCAATTGCCATGCAAGGATATCTGTGAACAAGTAACCACAACAAATCAGTAAAATTAAAGATACTGAAGCAAAAGTAACCTTTTCAATCAAGTTGGATTCCTTATTTACAAGCTGTGTGAGTTTCTGCAGATTAGCATCTGCTGTATCCTGTCCAGCTGGAGAATGGCCTGGAGAGTGAAGGCAGAAAGATGAAGAGTGAAAAAGTATTTACAGAAGCCTTTAAATTTTTAAAAAATAAACTCACATTGGAGACAGTTCATGCAGTATTTTTACGCAAAGAAGAATTTAAGTGAAAAAGCCATTCCATGTGAGAAAATAAAGAGTACTAAGCATAAGCCATAAGATTTTGCCAGTGCTTGACAGAATCTAAAACTGAGTATTAACACTTGCTTTTAATTTTGAATTCTTTCTGCCCAACTTTAGAAGTTTCTTCATTTCCCCACAGAAAGTCTAGCATAAACTACATAAAATCTAATCTGCTTTGGTTCACAAATAGGATCCTGGAGCACTAATCCCAACATGGGTATAAATGGTGACAAAAAGGAGAAAAGAAAACACAACTTACTTGAGACAGTTGACCTAAAGTAGCGAGTTAAAATATCATCACAAAATCGGCACAGATTGAGAAGCTGTTTCAAATGCACTTGCAAATGTACTTTCGGGAAGCACACTTTATAAATTGGTGCTAGGAAACCAAACACAAAGGCATCCAAGGTGGTAGGCCTAAAAAGAGTGACACAGAAAAATACTGAAGTGACTTGAGATAAGCCTTTTACGACTTCTACAACCTAGTTTTCCATGCATGTCAAATACTACTCAGGACATAATATAGTCAGCCCTTCTTCATTCCACTTTTGCCTATGAACTATGAATCTGGTTAATGCTTTGTACCAACTATCTACTCCTTTCAGCATCTCTTAACTAGAGACATGCTGATAAATTGGAACAGTAATGTCAGCATCACAACACAGCCATGCTATCCCACACATTGATAAACAAGCCCCTCTAGAACACCCTTTTGGCACCACAAAAGTTGTGCTGGGCACCAGGGGACCAGGATCCTCCCTCATGGAGTGATCCAACTTCAACAGCTAAAGAAGAGATCATGCTTTTCAGGACCTGTTGGCTCTATGTTGCTGGCCCTATCTGCTTCCTGCTCTGCACTCATACCACAGTAATAGTGTTCCTGGACCTACGCCCTCCTCCCATGAGGGCAGTAGTAGCACCTCAGCTAAAGCATTTTTTCTTACATACAAAGCCATGAGGTGACATTCAGTGGCTAGAAAAATGTTCTCCAGTGCACCTCACATTTTCTTAGCAGCTGTGGGAAGCATTTCTCTCTCTGTGGAACAAAGCAGAATAAGAGAGACACCACACTGACTCAGTCTGACGATCTCATTTGCGCCCTGTTTGCTCTTTCAGATTTATTTGAAAAGCAAAGTGTGAGAAATCAAACTACTGGGAAGCACTTTTAGCATTCTGGCAGGTTAAAAAGAAAAGAGGAAGTTCAAATGTTCATAGAGTGGTGTGGTACCTTTTTTGTCAGTCATTTATCAAAATAGTTATTTAGAAAATCACACTCACACATCTCCAAAGAAAAACTGAGATGTTCCCAATCTCTTCGACAGGAGATTTAGGCACTCCTTGGCATCTCTGTATATCTGATGAGACACAAGAGCCCTAGGTGTAGCCAGGCTGGTATGCACAGCACCATTCATCGTTTGACAGTGTGCTAAACTGTTTAAGTTCTTGTCTTTGACAGAACCAACTTACGAATTCCTTACTGCACAACCCATACCTGTCCTTCCACTTCAGTGAGACTGTAGAGTGGAGGGCCTCCCTTGGTCAGCAAGATCCTGTTCAGCGCTTCCCTGGACATCTTTCCAGGCAGATACAAACTCAGTGGGAACGCAAACCTTGAGGCAAACCATGGCTTTGTCACACTGCGGTAATTTTCAGCCTCAATCCAGAAAGTGTGCAGCTGTATCAACACGAGGAAAAATGTAACTGAAATTTTAATGACACAAGCAGACATCCCATGACACTTGATATTCAAGACCTCTCTCAGAAAAGCAGAAGAACCAGGAATTACTGTAATTTAAAGTTATCAAACTCTGTAGTGGAATATACTAATCTTCTGAGCATAGGAGTACATGAGTAAGGAAACAGTTATCTTCCAAATAAAGAACAGCACCAAAGATATTACAGAGATTTATGTACATCTGCCTAAAATTATGTACACACTATGTGCGTACAGATACATACACACACTGAGTATATCAAAAATATATTGCAAGGGAGTTGCAGACATACAGCAACAGGTTTGAACTTCCTGGAATTTTGTTTTGAAATTTTATATAAATCTTAAAATACAAGATACTTCTAAATGATGAATTTGAAACCAAGGTCAGCTGAAAAGGTTAGCTCATGATAACTCTGACCATCTGGTCAGAGTATGTTTTGCTGTACAAACTGAAGCCAAAGTCATTCAAGAGACTCAGTATCTGTGGGTCTTATAGCTCTAATGTAATTACACTTAAATAGTGAGGGCAAATGGCCATGTCTTTAGACATTGTATTTAGATATTGTATTTAGAACTGAAAAATTAAACGAGGTACAGAATTTATTAAAAATTTTAACTCAGCAGCTCAAAAGACTTTCATCTGTATATCTCACATCAGACACATCTTAATCAAAAGTTTTTCAGGAAATCAAATGAACCAAAAAATGGCCATAATAAGGTGTTTTCAGGATACTGTTTCCCGAAAACCAACAGAAAAAAAAAATCCCTAAATAAGTGTCCTTTAAAATGTCTTTCCTAAATCTACTATGTCGAATTACTGACATTCCACAAACACACACTTATTTCCTTTTCAGAAGTTGCTAGGCAGTAATTCCAAAAAACAGACTAACAAAACAACTGTGTGTTTTATCCAGGGCTGTGGCTGACAGACTTTAATCTCTCACATTGGGCACTTCTTACAGTATTACATTCAAAGTATTTGGACCATTACAAAGTATTTATTAATAATTACCAGAGCAGGAAGCAATTTCTCTTCAAGTAGTGCAATATATGCCAGTGTATCAGCTCCTTGTTTTGCAGACAAATCATAATCAGCATTGTATTTCTATGAATTAAAAAAAAAAAATAGACTTAAAATGAACTTTCAAAAAACATTATCAATGGAAAGTTACTTAAAACTTAACAGCTATCAAGGCAGTAAACATATAAACAATTTTTGGAACAGAAAGCATGCATTCACTGGATTTTTCCTTCTTCAGGCCAACTCTGCAAAACCTTGTTGCATCTCACTTTTCCACCTTCCCATTCCTACAGCTTTGGGACCTCCTATTTCCAAAATAATTCTTGTGTCTCCTTTCTATTGGTTTCCAAGCAAATGTCCAGCTATACAGAGGCAATTTTTCAATACTCAGGGATGTAGCAAACCTCTGGTAAATCTCCGTTGTTATTTTTCAAGAAGCATCTGATACTTCAGCAGGTGTAAGCATAAAAAAAAAAAAAGCATGCATTCCCATATTTTGCTTTTAATGAACATTCTAGAAGTTAAGAAATTGGATGGTAACAATGTAAGGGAACAAATTTACAGCAAAATTAATGCAGTTACTAACTGAACTTTTAATTCTAATAGTGGATTCTTCTATGATACATTACAAAGAT